ACTCAATCCAATCCAACCCAACCCAATCCAATTGAACCCAACCCAACCCAACCCAACCAAACCAAACACAACCCACCTGAACCAAACCCAACCGAAATGAACACAACCCAACCCAACTCAACCCAACCCAATTCAACTCAACTCAATCCAACCCAGCCCAACTCAACTCACCCAACCCCAACTCAACCTATCGACATCCCATGTACCCATGTGAAAGCATTTAAAGCAATCCCAAAAATTTATGCTGAATGTATGATTCCAGAGTGTTTAGCAGCAAACCTGTAGGGGCCATATTCCTGCTCAAATGGTATGGCTATGATTCCTTCTTCTGCTACAATTGTCTTCTGTTGCTTCCAAGCATAACTAGTAATAAGCTTGTCAGTGCGATTTCCCCACGCATCAAATGTCTCTACGACCGGAGGATTCTGCTCACACTCTCTTCCAAGCTTGTCAATTTCATGAGCTACTCGAAAACCAAAACTGTCCAAGTCTGGTGTTATTTTCTTCAGGATCTGTAAGGTAACAATATGATCATTTGATGTCATGTAACAATAATCACAGTTACTCACTGATCAGGAAATTGGTGAAAAAGGAACCACATCCAAGCAAACATGTACACGTACACATGTGGAAAAAGTTATGTAGCCTGAAGTGGCATTCTGAGAATCAGACACTCTGTGCATAAGACTACATTTCCTTTTTCACTGATTCATGTACATGTAGGTCAAAACTTTTAGAATATTTGTTGGTGCTAAATATTTTTGTATTTTTGAATGACAGTTTGACATAGTTTTCACAAACTGACTTCTTGCATGACTTCCAGTAAAATTAAAATATGTTACTAATGAAATGTGCTATTCAAAGTAGCACAGAGGTGTGCCAAATAGTACAAAACTACAGTAATCTTCATCAAGCTGTGGGACATGTACTAACCTCTTCGGGTACAAGCCTCTGAAGGTAATCCCTAAGTGACTGGTCTTCTCTGTAAACATTGTCCAAACTTGGCTGAACTTGAATAAATGTACCAAGCAATGCTTTTGCAAAGGGAGGACTCCTCTCTGACCCTGTCTTTACTGTAGGTCTTTCATTTCTAGTTTCCTGATACATGTAACTTGGTACACTTGTATGGTAATGTTTACATGTAGCTCCCCAGCAGGACAATCCTTCAGTTAGCTGACCGGCAAACCATGTTGTTTCCATCCATTTTACATTGTTTCCTTGAAGAGCACGTCCAGCAAGACGCAGGGCTAGCAAATGGATCATGGCTGTGGCTCACAGTGGCTATGTGCTGTATTCAAAGAATTACACGTAAAACTCATGGCAGCAAAACATGACCATGTATATGTACACAAGCAACCAGTGCATTAATGTTTGTTGTGTGTTTAATGTACTTATGGTAAGATTAAAATCCAAGCTTGGCCATTTAGTGTTTAGTACTACAGATATTTTGGCTGAATTGTATGATTTGTTCCACTATTCATAAACTAGGTTTTATTTGAGTCTGGTTTTGTCCTAAATTGATTTTAACTGTTTATAGCTTCTTTAAGTGTTTTTAATTTCAAGTCTTTGGTTTTAGTATGCTTGATTGGGTTTCAAGGATTGATTGGTTTAAGACATTTCTGTAATAAATTCTTTTTGTCCTCTTTTGTGTTTGAAATTGAGAAGTTTATGCCCATTGTTTCTCGTAACCCACTTACTCGTGCCTTTTCCCTTCAAAGATCCTTGGTTATTAAGTTTTTTAGTAATGTGGGGTTCCCCCATAATGTCAGAATGTTCCATTGTTCATCTACGTTTTGCATAAACCAAACCAACCTGTACCCATAACCAATCCAAGCTTTCAAGCTGCCCTGATTGCTACTGGGGACCTAATTATAGCCTGCTTGCAGACAGTCCAATTGCTGACCATGCAGAACACCGCCGCCAGAGGGGCGTGACATCCCACTTCTGACACCAATAATTTCACCCTGCACCTTCTGTCTTCTGCCCTCTGTCATGTCATACAATTGTATACCAGAACCAGAATCTTTAAAAAAGTTTCTTGCCCAGAACAATCAAAGATTGGAACAGTCTTCTATCTAGCACTATTGAAACATCTCATCAATTTAACATTTGGACATGCCTGACCATGTCTAAATGTTAAAACAGGCGATTCATAGAGACATAAAAGAATGTCCACACAATATTGTACCAAACTTGATTGCTACATGTATTTACATATTTTTACGGCAGTTCCATCCGCGTCCCGGTGCGAAGGGGTTAATGCATGATACCGGTAGACAGACCTTGGCAACTGGAATAATGACTGAACACTGTCTGTTATCAAAGCTTAATCTGGTGTACATGTTCATGTGCATTAAGGGTTAATAGCATCAATTTCGCCTTAGTACAGGATAAATTATTGCATCAACATGACCGTATACTTGGCACAGGACAAAAGAATGTGGTTAAAACTGGAGAGTAAGCTATTTGAGCATGCATCATTTCAAATAAATACTAATCCAGTGGTGTTATCTCAGTTAATTTTTTCCTATATTTGGAATTGAATTTTTCATTTGCTAGCTACATGTACGTGTACGTACTAGGTACATGTAGCTACATGTACGTGTACGTACTAGGTACATGTAGTATGTAGTGTCATTAAGGTTGACCATGGCAATTGGACTTTTGCACATGCTAGTCAACAGCATGCAAATGCTATCATGAAAGCATTTGCATGTTACTCTATACATGTAGCATGTGAATGCTATGGAATAAGACATGAATGCTTACAACTGACACTGGAGGACAGCATTCAATGTAGGACGGCATTTGAATGCTATCTTACAGCATGCAATGTCGAAGAATTAATATGTGAATGCTTTCTCATGCTACGGAAACAGCATTCAGATGGATGCTTTTTGTGAAGGCATTGACATACATGTACATGTACAGTATGCTGATCTGATAGGATTCATGCTTTGGGATAACATGTACGTACATGTATGTACAGGCCATGATGCTGCATGCAGTGTGCAAGGATATAACATGTGACTGTTACATGTACCGGTATGCCTCATTCACATACACTGTATGCTCTGCAGAAAGGCGTATAAAGTCGTGCAATGCAAAAATGCGCAATGGCCCATTCCATGTGCCAAGGGTGAAAATATTTGGAAATATTTTGAGGCCAACTGCTTGACCAGAAAGCCTCTGTTGCTAACGAAAACCAAGAGAGTTTCTAATTTAAGTTTAATGTTTCATTTTGTAATATTTATTACCTCAAAAAGCATGTGTGATAAAATGAAATTACACGTATATGAATACGCAAATGGCAAATAACTCCAAAATGAAAAATGACACTGGAATGAATTATACATAAATGTGTAATGTATGTCAAATGAAAGCTTAGGATATCAGCAATATATATATATTGTATATACATGTATAACTCAAATTCCAAAAAATGTGACATAATACGCCTTTTTTTGAAGAGCCGGTCACATAAGGGTAACTCCAGAAATTAGGGATCCATTTTTTTGTGTCCCTGTTACATCTGACATATGATTTTGTAAATTCATAGAACACATTTTCTAATTTCCAAGAGTGATGAATTAATGCAAAGTGCATTGTGCCTGCCAAACAAATAGTAATAGTTTGAAATCAATTCCGGTGATTTCCATGTCAAATAACAAAGGTCAGATGTAACAGGGACACAAAAATGTCATACTTTTGGACCCCCCAATTTTTGGAATTACCTACAGGTATATTTTGACCTCCCGATGACATGCTATTCGCATACGGTTCGCATGTGAACGCTATAAGATTTGCAGCTCTTAAGAATGCTACTAGAAGGTAGTCCTTATAACATTCACATGCCGTTTTTAAATGCCAAGGGCATGCTAAATGAATGCAGTCAAGTTTGGTAATTACTGCATAGAAAAAGGTCCCCCCAAAATACTGCCTGTATTTATTTACACTGATGTGATCCCTCACCCCCTCTGTAAAATGGTACTTAGAACATGCAGGCTCATAATTGAAAGTGGCCCTCATGCAGGCTCATGAGGGCCACTTCGGCCAAATGAGGCTTTAGGCAAAATCGACAGAAGTTCTTTTTTTAAGTTATTTTGTTTTAGGCTACTTCTTTTCTTGAGGGCACTCCATTGTTTCCATTTCAGATTGAATGGCAACTAGTACTTTGTTAAGCATGTTAAGGCTGGTTCATACTACAGGCGAGTGAAGTCATGACTTAACTTTGCAGTGAGATTTTGCTGTGATTATTTGGTCTGCTCTCACAACTTTGCGTTCACTTTCGCATGAAGTATAAGTCAGCCTTTAGGGGTGAGCATCCTGAATGCTTGCCAAATGTGAAACTGTTTATTAATCAACATTGAAGGTTGAATGACAAATGTGTACAGTAACTGTAAGGTTTAAACCTTACAGTTCTGGGAGTAAGTGTACAGTAGACCTGTTATACCCCAACTATAGACCTTTTCCACTCACGTGACTAAATGTAAACAATACCACCACGTGTGGACCACCTTAGCCACGGTGATCGCATATATTCCTACGGGAGCTTCAACCACATGCAAGCGCATGTGCGAACGCTGCATGCTTGACTAGTTTATCTTGAATAGGAATATTACCATCACAACACTATGCGCTCATTACCATTACAACACTGTACACATCATACATGTAGGTCCAGCACAACCGTGACATCACAGGAAAAAGATCTGTCCAAACTATAGTTGGGACAGTCCCAACTGTAGTGCTGCAGTTGGGCTGACCCAACTGTAGTGCTGCAGTTGGGCTGACCCAACTGCTGCTGACTCATTTCAATGACCAAGTTCTCAACCTTATCCAAGTTTATGAGTCTCACACTTGACACAATTCATCTATGACAAGACACTATAAACAATATGACTTTGGCACATGCTGGGTACAGGTACACTGGACCTTCTGCGCTGTAGTTGGGCCGGCCCAACTGCAGCAATCTAGTTGGGATGGTCCCAACTATGGGACTGATGCTATAATTGGGGCGTATTATTCCTAACCAATACCTGTACTTCCAGAACTGTGAGGTTTATACAAACTTTCTAGATAGTCACATACATGTACAAACTCGCATAAACACATTTTAACTGTTTGGACTGTGCCAACTTACTCTTCTATCACAGCTACTTGTGCCCCCCTAAAAATTCATAAATGCCTTCTTGGTGGAGTTAAATTGGGAGGTTTATTCACCTTTTTACATGTACATGTATCTTCATTTATAATGGTGAAATTCCTGAGTATTTTGCCCATCCACAAAACAGAAAATCAGTAGCATCAACTCTCAATCACTGTCAGCTGCATGATAGCTTGACCAATTGCAACATACATGTACATGTAGCTCCTATCTTTATCTTGTTTTCTGACTCCAACAGAATGAAAGCAAAGCTATGATTGGTCATTGGAATGGAAGCAAAATGGGCCAATTACTGTGGCTTTTATGTGTGGGTAACAGACAAATTTTCTAATGCGAATGGGCTAATACTCACGCTTTTCACCATTTCAATGAAGATATACATGTAACTAAGGTGAATAAACCTCCCCATCCGACATCTACATGTAACTTCACCAAGGAGGCATGTATGATTTTTTTGTACATTTTTTTTTCCCGGAGACACTTTTTCATTTCTCTCACAAACTCTCTTACAACACAAACGCAATATAGCAATTAATACAGTTATAAGAGATCGTAAAACTTTTTGTGCTAAACTGCAATTGTTTGAATAAGCTTAACAAAGTGCAGAGTAATTTTGCCATTTCAACCAAAATTTTTGGCAATCACCATTGACAGCAGCCAAATATTTTTGACAATGATAATACCTCTGGATATCCTTTTTCAAACCTTCTAATGAGGGACATTTGTGGCTAATTTTCATTTTATAAATGTGAAATCTGGCAACCAAAAGGATAAGATTAAGGCATTTTAGTCTATTGTCAGTAACATCGAACAATAAAGGTTGATTGTCTATTACAAGCTGCATCTTTGTTTGTCCTTAATCCAATCTACTGTTGAACTCAAGAAATAATTAACATAATTACAGTTACAAAAAAGGTGGATAAGGGTTTTCTAGAGCTTCATTTTTGCAGAAGGTACAGACATTTATGAAGCGTCAAAAGTGGACAATGCCATTTTCTCATTTTCTGCTAGTAGATTTTCGGGATTTCGGACTTTGCCTAAAGCATTTTCAAAAAACGCAAATTTCTGCTAGGAGAAATTTGGATTTTACTTTAACAACTCCCGTGGCGCATCAGAAGTGGGCAACTAAAAATTCTCACTGGCAACATTACTGTCATGCTCCAAAAGTGAGCAATCCCATTTTCTCATTTTTTGTTAGTAGATTTTCGGGTTTGGGGAATTTGCGTAAAGCATTTTCAAAAACTCAATTTTCTGCTAGCAAAATTGGGAATTTACTTAAAGAAATCTTCATAGCACGTCAAAAGTGGACAACTATAAACTTAAAATTTCCGCTAACAAATTTTATTTGATGCTCCCAAAGAGGACAACCCCATTTTCTGCCAGTAGATTTTGTGGTTTTTTTGAAGTTGCACCATCCCTTTTCGAAAAAAACCCCATTTTTTTGCTAGAAGAAATTTGGTTTCTTTGATGACTGCGGGGTGGTCCAAAAGTGGACAAGTTAATAAGTAAAAGGACACTTTTCTCCCTACCTTCGGCATCCAACATTAATGTTGGATGCCGAAAATCTACAAGCAGAAAATGAGAAAATGGGGTTGTCCACTTTTGACACTCCATAGACATTGGAATCCAACTTATGAATGTTACATAAAATTAAAAACGATTTTCTTTTTGCACAATTGGCCTAGGTCTAAACCATTTGCTTAGCTTCTTAAACTCATGACAGTGAGCTGTGATAGCACTTGGCACAATCAAAACAGCACAAATGTGTTCATGCGACTGCAAGTTTGTATGTGGCTATCTGGAACTTTTTTTTTTTAACCATAAAGCACCTTTGACCATGGAGTGACCAATTTGCGTTACGTGTGCAATATTGTCAGACTTTGTAGTAAACGTTCCGCAGTATTTTCAGTCACTGTCCATGCAGTAACCAGGGGGGGGGCTACGTCATTTGTACATGTATGTAGTTGCGTAGAAATGATGGAGTTGCGGGAGTATTGACTTTGTATTGGAGTTCCGATACACCTGTGTTGCAAAGAATCCGGAAAACTCACCAAGAGCTCGAGCAAGAGGAACTTGAAGGGCAACTCAGCTTACAACTAGGCCTACTGCCAGCCAACTATGATGTATGTAGTGAGTAGTAAGGGCAGCTTCGGGGCCGATCAGCCTTTCTAGTTTCCACATTCAGAATATTGGTGATGGAGGTAGCTTGTCGCCAGAGGGCGCTCGCGGGTGATGTTTAGTCGTTGAGCGCTGCACACCACATACATGTACATGTACTGAATATGACCATGTTACAGTAAGTGCATGCATGCACCAATGCTACATTGATCGCTGACCGCGGTCCGTTCCAATTTTTATCCAGTAATCCGTGCGTTGGTGCTGCTCGTATCTTCAGTTTCAGGTAGGCCTCATATTTTTGAGTCCACTTCCTCCATGGGCGGTCCTACGGCCCGGGTATTATAATTTTTTTATACCTGTATACTTTTATTCCTTGAACAAATTTAGTTTTAAGATGAATGTGCAAGTTGTAGTGGTGAAAGGGAGTCCACGAAACGGCACCTCTAAATTTTATATCATGTAAAACTAAGTGTTTGTTTTTCAATCACTGATTTTTGCCCTTTGTGTGCATCAGATTGTATATTTTATAAAGCAGTTGTGTTGTAAAAGAACCAAAATTTGTGTTAGTTCCATTTAATAATGATTTATTATGTCTGTTTCTGTCAAGTTTTAGGTGTAAAGCATAATGTAAATAATGTAAGATCAGAACCACTTACACTACATCAACAACTGTGTGCGGCCATCTTTGTTTGTTGTCGTGTGACATAGTCTCGTCTAAGCCTAATATCTCGCGAGACTCAATCGGGTTTGGAACGATGATGTTATCTTGTAGAGCTTAAAATATTCGTCATTTGATGTATGAGTTGAGGCATTTGACTTAAGCACCGTCAAGCAAGTTGTATTTGAAGCATAAAATTTCAGGAAGAAAAGGAAGTTGTTTTTTGTCAAAAATCGATGTTGAACTGATGCCGGACAACCCTTTTGTACTCGGGTGCTGTTGCGCAACTGTGCACGTGTGGCGTATGCATGTGCATCAGATCGGAGCAAGATGCAAATAACAAGTGCATAAACCACACATGTTGTTTCAAACAGATGTCATCACAAGACCCTGTCAAACACAAACAGACTTAAAATGACACCTAACAGACATGGTCCCCCATTCTTGTAGCTATTTATTGATGGCAAAATATCACATCAAACTATGCTTCAGTGATCTTTCACATATCACTAAAAATTTCAAGCCCAACTCAACTGTCCTGTTACTGTATACATGTACATGTATCCTGTGTTTATTATTGATAAAGTTTTCCAACACGATCAGTCCATAATAAAAGATATTGTTTACTTAACACTTTCTCTGTGACTTAAATGTAACTACACATCTTTGTCCAACTTTGGCAAGTCTGGAAGTGGAACCGATGAGGAACAAGATTCCATGTGGTTCAAATACATTGTTGAAAATAAAACTTGTGTCCATCCCAAAACGTGACTGACTAATTACATGTACACATAATTTCAATATCAAAAAAATTCATAACTTCACTATACTTACAGCTATTGAGCTATATTTTATACCATTGAATTTCTTTTGAAATTCTCTTTTCAATAGTATTAAATTTATGAGGCTCAAACAAAAAACCTGAAAAGTGCTGGACTCCCTAATTTATTTACTTTATACACAATGTGATGTGGAGTGGCAGGTCTTTGGCCTCAGTGATTGTTATTGCTTTTGCCTCTCCATTATGTCTTGTATGTGATGAAAAAGAATTGGCATGAATAAATAATGATAATAATAATCAAGTCCTTACAATAGGCCTAGGCTAAGTATAGGCCTGCAGTCATGGCAGTGATATAGATATACCCCCAGAACTGTGTGGGGTCCGATGTCCCCTCCGCTCGTAGCAGAGTGGATATCGTTCCCACAGTTCTGGGGGTAATATCGATATACTGTAGGCCTACGAACAACACAAATTTCCCCTTAAAATATCATAACACTCACAAAGTGGTAATATGTCCTAAAAAGTGAAATATACTCTGATATACATGTAGCTTAGAAAATTCCAGAGTATTTACCTAGAAAAACACTTTTAGACAAGTCTCATGGGTTTTATGCACAGGCAAAGGAATGCCCCTGTCACGTATGACAGGGGCATCAATTATCAAGTGTTATCCATGTATGGAACTTTTTCTGAGTTTTTTGCTACCCATAGTTAATTGATTCTTGCTAATCTATTTTATGTGATGTGATTTTTATGAAATTTGTATTGTATGCATTTTATGTAATTTTATTGCACGGATTTTTCCAATGGTATAATTTCTTTTTTAATTTGTTTTTTTAATGGGGCCTTGTCATGTTTATTAAATCAGGCCATGAAAATAGAAGTTGTGGGGATTGTATATTTGGGGATCCCCCGTTTTTTTTGTCATTTTTACCCTTGTAAAATTGGTCAGTCCTCCCAAAACCCAAAGGCAACTTTCTCTTTATTGCGCTGACCCTATTTCTTTGACATTTCAAATTTTAAATTCTAAGAAAATGTGACTTTCTTACTGCTGAACCAGCCATGCAAATTTGAATCCACCCTGTGTCATGTGTTAAAACACTCACACTTCCCCTTGTAATTTCCCTCAACACTCAGCACCCCCCTACCCTTTTTTTCCCCACAACATAACCCTACAGTTATTGAGCATGATATTGTTATGCCCCAACTATAGCATCCCAACTGTAGTTGGACCCGTCCCAACTCGCTACAGTTGGGTCGATCCTACTACAGCGGAGAGGTCCTGTGTGCATGATGTGCCCAGCATGTGCCAAAGTCAAATTATTTACCAATGTCATGTCATTGGTCATAGGGCTAGATGAACAGATGAAGTGCCACATTTTATATGAATTGTGTCAAGTGTGAAACACATTGACTTGGATAATGTTGAGACATTTCCCACAGACATTACTCAACAATAGTTGGGCCAGCCCAACTGCAACACTACAGTTGGAACTGTTCCAACTATAGTTGGGACTTATGCTGTAGTTGGGGCGTAACAATATCACACATGTTGTCATGTACTTAGGTGAATCCAACAGCTACATGCTGGTCTACTTTCCATTATAGGAACAGGGTCCCCAAATACATGTGCATGTTTACATGTACATGTACAATATTTACCTGAAGTTGTAAATTTGCATCCTAGCAGTTTCATAAACACATGAGTCATTTTTTTCATTCTTTGTTATTCATTGTTTTATTTCAACCTCTTAGTACTGACACTTTTCAAGTATAACACTGCCAAACTACAACCAAAAGCCATGCTAAGGGATAAGCTATGTACATGTATGTGCATGTAGACTGCCCTTCATCAGCTCATGGATCAGGTCAAATAGGGATCATCACAACAAAAAAGACCCACAATAAAACGTGTATTAAACGTGAAAGCCAATCCGACACGTGGGTCAGCCATACATGTACATACATGTAGCTCAAGCAGACACCTGGACATACTGGTATGAAAGCCATTTAAACTGAGCTAAGTATAGATGAAATGCATAAATATATGGTGTTTTATACAGCTGCTAAAAGTACAAGTTTCGGAACTCTGATTTTTGTGATTTTCTGTCTTTTTCTTACAAAGAAGGAAATTTTTGTAAATAATGATTTTTTGGGCGATGGCGTCAGGACATACCTGGGTTGGATGCAAATCTACAACTACTGTTCTCATGGCCTAATAAATATGAATGCAGTGTTTTGTAATTGAAAAAGGGCCAATAAAAGTCTCCAGTTTCTGGTTGGGCTGGCGCCAGAGTGGTGTGGCGACGCCTTTTGTTGGCCCTCAATTTTTTTTCCCCAGAAATGATGTATATGCACATTTACCATACGTACCACTGCTACCAACACTGAAATAGACTGGCCCCTTCACTGTTCACTGTTTAAATGCATTTTCAGCTTGTAGATGTACATAGGATAAGACCACCTTGTTTGTCTGGCGCGCAGATGTAAATGTGTAATACAGATATGACGTCATCTGAAAAAAGAGTGCCAGACTGAATATGTAGGGGCCTAGAGGGCTCCTGTACTGTACATACTACTCAACCGTACCCCATCTAAAATACATTACAATTATGCAGTAGCAGGATTCCAGTCAATTAAGCAGGTTTGGCAGCTTTTGGACATTGTATTACGCCAAATGAAAAACTTTTTTATTTTTCCGTCATACAGGTCTATGGCATTAAGTGTGCTCACCAAAAACTGGAGACTTTTTTGGGCCTAAGATAGCAGGTATGTATTTTTAGGATGTTGGACAACTCAACTGTTTTCCAACTCGACTTGGGACAGCTCGACTGTTGAGACAACTCAACCAGTGGGACAACTCAAGCATTTACATGTACATGTACCAAGTCGTCCGTTATGACAACATGACTGTTCAAGGCATGTACATGACTGAGTTTGGGGCATTTAACACAGAATGCAGATCTTGTGTTTGGACAAATTTGCATGCGTTGCTTCACTCGTTACTACTCGACTCACCAGGCATGGCATTCATAGGGACCCAATGACGCAGCATGTACTGGAATGGTGGATGGTGTATCGGCTGCCCTAACTAGAGCATTGCGTAGCCGTAACGGCAATGCGGCGTACACATACGTTGGTGCAACGCACAGTCCGTGGTGCACAGGTGCCTTAGCTGCACTGTACCGATGATCAGTTGCTAGTCTGTCAGTATGGGACCTGGGAGATGGTAAATCTGTCCTCCAGTCCTTTCTCTCGTTTTTTTAATTTGGGGTGACTGTAAAGTGCACTTGTGTACTCATTATGAGTCAACTCGTTTCAATTGACAAGTGGGTCATTCCATTGGGTTGGGGAGCAAAGTGTGATATAATAGTGAAATTTTAGAAGTTTTCAAAAAGTTCATCTTTCATAGTTTTCAGATATAAAATTATCAATAATTTTAAATTCATAAAACAATTGAGTGTGGATTGTGTACACACAATTAGTTAGTGCACCATACATGTATACTTGAAGACTGTGTCACATAAAGTGCAGCCGTAACGTTGACACCAAAATTGATACTTTAACAGTATCCAGTTATTCAGTTAAACAATTTTTATGCACATATATACTTTGAAGTGATGCTTTTAGGAGATCCCTTTACAAGGATTAACTTTTTATGGATTGAAAAAGACTCAAAACAAAACATGAGACAACACAAATGTTCTTGTACAGTTACAACTTGAATAAAAGTGCCATTTTTATATTTGAAAGTTGTCCTACAAACACAACGATCTCAAGGAATGCAACTGATGAGATGTGCTTAATTTACAGACCATAGACTTCCATCTGCAAAGGATTTATAATCTCTTAAGACTTAAATCTTGAAGATTGGAAGGTGTTAATAAACTATTGCGGATTAGTGGATGTATGGGTACTAGTAACATTGGCACCCATTGTACCAGTATCTTACATCCAAATCTTCTCACCACAAAGGTCAAGCGGTCAAAATGAATACAAACACAAGACAATAAAAACTTTGCAATTTTAGAATCAGTGTTGATTCTATCAATTGTGTAGTAAGAGTGTGGTACTAAGACTGAGTTGGCCTAAGCTAAATTCTTTCTCGTGACATTGAGAAATTATGATTATTTTCTGGTACCTTAAGCCTGTCAGTATGTTAATACATGTAGTTGTCTTTTCTCTCTGTACATGTAGGAGATTGGATCCAGATGTAGACAAATTAAACCAACTCTGAATATGAGCACTTTACAAGCATTGCAGCTATCCAGAAAAGGTGGTCATGTGTATGACAGTGGCTGGTATAAAGATGGACGAGTGTATGTAAGTATAAGTTTCATGTGAGTTGTCCAGGCCCATCTTTCTGAAGTGCCATTTTAGTACTTTGCCAAACTCCTACCAGATTTTGACTATTGACTATTTTAAAGATGCAGTACAGGAGTCCAAAATTAACTTCAATATTCACCGTACTTGCACACAACTCTACAGCTGCACATAGACAAAAAACTGATGTCGCAGGAAGATTTCTACAAGTTAATTCCCAGAACTTGATTTGTTGTCTATATGTATTTTTTGTGTTCACTGATTTAATTCAAGGTTAAATTGCTTGTCTTTGACAATTGGCCCAATGCAGACTCGACATGATATGACCTGTAAAGGTTTCATGGTGTCCATGGGAGATAACTGGTATTGTTAGAAAATGATACCAGCCAATATATCAGTACTCGGGTCATTTGCACGTGTATGCATGACCATGCACAGAATGACGTGCCACTCGCTACATGTGTATGTGGCACGTCGCATTATAGCAGGCAATTATGGCTGGAATTTACGGTAAACTCGGAAGTGGTGTGCCGTTGATATGAAACACAAGTCATAAAATGTGATGAAAGTTTTGAAAATGTGGCAGTGTTCCTGAAATGACTACTGTCCTGCTGGGCAATCGTTTTGGGAGAATGCAGTAGCCCGATGAATTTTTCGGTGGCCCCCGGCCAGTGAACCACCGTTAATTTCGACCCCTGCAGTACCTGTTTATGTACAAGAAGAGTTTCTGTGAGAAGACTTGCAAGTTGATTCCCTCCTCCCAAGCCCTTGTTCAGGCCCACCCCTCCCCCAAGAATGCACTTAAGTTTTTTCAGAGAAGGATTTTTTTCCCTCTCCGAGTGTGTCATAAGTCGTGTTTGCCTGAAAACTCTGAACGATTCCTAGGAATTTTCGACCAAAATCGTAAATGTTCTTAACAACTAATCTCCCAAAATTTCCATGTTTAAGCATGCTGGTTCCCCCAGAGCGGTCTTGAGACCGGATTTTGGCAGTCTCGGTCTCGATTTTAGTCTTGATAACCAATGGTCTCAGTCTTGATCTCGGTCTCGGATATTAGAGGACTCAATATTTTCCCTGGTCTCAAAAATCGACACCATATTATGCACCACCTACATGTACATGTAATTCACAGGTTTGTTGCTGATCAAAGTGGTTGCGATGGTCTCGAATAGAGTGGAAATCAATGCCCATGCATTAACATTAGGAAAGAAAAGCTAGCAACATGTACAGTACATGTACTTCATGTTTTCAACCACTGATTTACCGATGTGCATGTGCGAAGTATGACCCTGACACAAAAGTACATGTACATCTTGAAATACATGTAGTTTGCAGTACCCGCTGCTACATTTGACTCAGACTGGCCAGCCAACCCCAGCAAGCTCAGTGGTTGAATGGTTAAGACATCTGTATTAGTAAGGAGGAGGTCGTGGGTTTGAGTCCCCCTCAAGTAAGTTTGTGAACTTTTTCGCAAGCTCTCCGACAAGCACTAAGTATACAGTGTTTATGAATTTACATCGGGTAAGGACAAAACCCGTAGTTAGAATTAGAATGGCATGAATGTTGTGTGTGGTTTGAGCTTCAGACCATATACGTGTACATGTACATAGTATCTGTATGACATCGTTGAAATGCATGAATGCGTTGTGCATGTACACAACACAAGACAGACAGTGAGAGTAAGCAGTGAACATATTCATGAACACATGTACGCTGCTTGTTGGCGAAATGCATGTGTTCATGGCTTTCTAAAAGCTTCCACTTGCCACTGGTACAAATGTATGTCACATCATTCCAAGCTCTGTTATATTCTAGAACATTCCCTTATAGACTAAATTTTTGGGGATGATGCAATCATTGTCAGTTAAAGAGGTACTAAAGGCTTCAATTTTTGACGTGTAGGGTTTTGGAGACAGATTGGCTACCCGAAAACTAATATACATGTACGTGTACATATACAATGAATTCAATGGCCAAACATTAAAACAAGAGAAATAAAAGACATTCTCTTTCCACAACCAACTGGACGGATTTCGGAAACACACAAGGTCAAATTTGGTGTATGTTTTGGTTTGATGATGTAACGGGGGAAATGCTCAACATCCATCCATGAAGATACATGTAAGCTGGCTTTGTTTTACCCCACATGCAGCAAAATAACATGTAGAAAATAAACAGTAATATTAGACATTAAATGTTAAGATGCATAAACCTAAAATCTTACTCTCTGGTCAAAATAATTGTGAGATTTGTTTTGAAATAAAGGAGTTTGTGACATTGAAGGTATAGCAGAAGGTAATATACATGTATTTGCTTGGCATACATGTTAATTAATGCATGTGCACTTGTGTTCACCTACAGTGACATCAGACTATTGATACACCGTGGGGAATAATGTGGTCAGTGTAGGAGTAACCAGACATGTATCAGATGGTCGTTCATGTACATGATATGTATCTGCCCCGAACTGAAGTGCACCCCCAATCGCTGAAAGAAAGACAGGTGGTTACAAGCAGGTTCTTGCACGTATTCTGCATGTACGCAAAGGCCATGCAAGCCAGAATAAATTACATGTAGTTACCCAGCATACTCAGCATGCTCTGCGTCAAACGCGCATATATTTGTGCACCTATGCGGTGAGTACCAAAGAAAGCACACCCTCTTTTGTTCGGCTTGTTCAGCTGCGCCACAAGCAATCAGTGACGTTTATCTATTGCTTTCCTAGATTCAAATTTCCTCTTAAGATGCTGGATATTTGTCTGAGCAGTCCTTCAAAAATCCTTGGCATATTACTTATTTGTGACTTCTCAAAAGGTTTAAGATCTACCCTTATTGTGTTGAGCATTATCTGGGAACAATCAATTCAACACACAATTGCATGGAAACCTGGGGAACTCCAAGTCTCAGTTTACAAGATTCCTGTTCAAAACTACAAACTGCGTAAGACTGGGGTATGTTTAGTTTGTGACAAATATGCAACCAATCATGCACTTAAACTGGATGGATGGAACAACCAATGTAGGTGTGTTGGTGGATAAGAACCATGCAAGAACATTGCATTGTGTGCCTCTACTGTGCGAGTTACATAAACTTGCACCTTACACATGTAGCGTTTATAGCCATTGCTCCCCCAACATTTCAGGGTCACTCAAAGACTGGCATATCATTAATACATAATGAGTGTTTCTGAAATGAGCAAAAAAGCATGTCATTGGAGCCCATGTTTTGACGTCTTTTCACCATAAATGGGAAACTTTTCTATTTTTCATGTTAATTTTGAAAGGTAGTCTTATCACCTGTTGTGAAAACTTGTAAATAGGAAGAAAAGGGTTTCTTTGTATTGCTTCTTAAATGGTCAGAAGGGGAACCTTTGCCAAGGCTAAGCAGAATTTGCAGAAAAGAACTCAGGAGCTTTGGTTGCCTATCGTGACTGCTAATAAAGAAGGGAAAGACTACAAAGCTACGTGTATTTCCAAATAATTTCCAAGTGCCAGTGGCCACAGTACTGAACATTGTCAAGTACAGTGCTTCCTTGAAAGGCTGAGCATTCGTCCTGAAGAACACAGCCCCCATGGTCAAGCATGGCAGTGGAAATACAATGCTTTGGGGATTTTTTCCAGCCAATAGGTGGGGCAGCCTCGTCAAAGCTGTTTGTATCTTGGAAAGGAGCAGTACATCAAGATCCTGGAGGAAAACATCACAGTCTACAGAAAAACTTGGTCTTTGGCAGCACTGGTCATTCTAATAACACAAAGATCCAAAACACACTGCCAAGTTGTCAAGAAATGGTTTCTAGATAACAATGTAAATGTTTTGGAGTGGCCAAGCCAAGTTCAGACCTGAACCCAATTGAGAATCTGGGGAAGGTGCTCAAAACCCAAGTGATGGCAAGGAACCTTCCAACCTCATAAATCTTGCGAAGTGTGCAAAAGAGGATTGGGCAAAAACTGCAGAAACCTTGCTTGCAAGTACAAGAACCATTTGGAGGCTGTGATTACAAACAAAGGCTTTGCTATTGACTCTTAAGTTAGGGTATGAATCATTCTGGACAGTGGACACTTTTTTGTAAATTTGTCTTAACACAAAAAATGCTGATTATCTTGAAATATATTTCTTGCCCGTACATCTTATAGCCTTTGTCACCTTTTTTCATTTAATCCAGAATAAACTCATTCCTCAAAATGAAATTGAGAAATGTTTCCTGAATTTGGCATGGGTATGAATATTTATGAACATAACTGTATTAACTCAGTTGAAGAATTGAAATCAATGACTTAGTCTACTTTTGTGCACTCTTGTGTGTGTCTACAGGAAACTCTGGTAAACTGCATGTCTTCGCCCAAAATTTCATCTGAAATTGCCCCTCCAGTTCTTCAAAATTGTAGTAGCACTTTGAAGGAAAATGATGAACAGCATCCACCTGACATTTCTGAGGGCTCTTACATTGGCATTGAAGACTGTGGAAATGTAGAAGAGGAAGGCAGCTTTTCCAACAATGCATCATCATCAACTTTACTGTATAGCACAAGGTACAGCACAATTTCAAACAATTCCACTGATAAGACTGATATGATTTTGCAGTTTATTTTGAAAGAGGTTGTACTGTACATTGTAAATTAATCCAAAGTACATACAGTGCTTCCCCACAGACTCTGCTGCACAGCTGCTGGATTGAGCTGCGCCACATTTTAATAACACTAAATTTCTTTTGGCTTTTACGACGGTTGTTCCTTTCCAACATACATGTCACAATGGTCATCAAACAGTTGTTGAATCTCTCCCCCCCACCCAACATTTTGAAAAAGTTTTCGTCCTTTCTTCGTCGGAACCGGACTAAAAATCTCTCAGTTTTCTCATGGCCAAACAAGTTTCTTATTCTACGTTAAAGTTGTTGCGCACTTATGCAGTGCGTACATTTTGTGAAATTGGTCTTAATTTGCAACTTGCAAGTAGAATTATGCCATTGCATATATTTTTTTGAAATTGGCTGCAGAAACTTAAAGTCAGCCACATACTGCTCATGTATGGTACATGTAAGTTGGCAGGCATTGTTGATAATGATCAAAACTAACCAAAATATTGAAATAAGAGCATGTTAGGTGCATGTATGCAATTGTTCAGCGGATCGATGTTGGTTATCCATTGTGCTGTACATTAAGAATTGTGAACCTCCATATTGGCTGACTTGAAATACTTTAATTAGCCAGTTTTAAATGCGGCAATGCAATAGGTGGGCACCACATGAATTGGCCTATAGGTACATGTGTATGCATCTTATTCTATTTCAATTCTGTTTTCTCTCCAGAGACATTAAGTTAGACGATATCCAAGCGACGTTAGCCTTGGTTAAGACTGGCATACTGGAAATATTAATCCATGAATGCGAACAACAGTGGGATAAACTGCCAAAGGTATGTGCTGCAGAGATCTAGAGAATGTACATATAGTTGGTGGTTGTATGGCTGATTTTGAAGGATGCATTGTGTCAAGCTCTTGGGTAAGGCTGTGTGTGGTTTATGCTCAGTCATTCATAAATTTTAGCCAAGGTTGTACTTGAAATAATTTTAACTGCTCCAAGATATTATTTTCACTGCTTGAACATATTAATAGTAAATTGCCAGAGGATTTTGAAAGATTGAGGCAGTGGTCACCACGCACCCCTCAAATGCACACATTTGTGAAGTGAGGCTGCATCCCGTATTTACCTATATGCAGTTGGCAGGATTATTATGGACTGAGGATGCATTCTAACAAAATGGGCCTGAGTTTAGGTTTAATGAATGATTGTGTACAGCCTGTACATAAATGTACTGGTACCTGCTGACCAGCTGCTAGAACTGCAATACCGTAAGGTATTTGCATGTACATGTAATTCAAAATGTCTTGTTACTATGACACGACTCTTTAATTGTTGGTTGATTTGAACATGCCAAGACTGTTTTAGGCTAGTGTTTGTGCAAAATATTAACAGGAAAGAGCAAACGAACGTCGACTTAAATTAGAAGAGCTGTGTCGGCATCTTCATGATCAAGCAAGCAAGAGCTCTTCAATGCTCGCTGAACAACTAGATGAGAAGACACGTATGTCGTTGCAAAGTGTGCAATGTACTTTGCGCGACAAAGAAGAAATGAGGCTGCAGCGTGTTCAACACCAGCAAGATCGTTACAAGTTGCATGTCAAGGTACAGTACATGTAAATCTTACATGAATCCTAATCCCCAAGGGTGTATGTAAAATCATATTGAAATTTTAGGAATGGGGACTGTTAGGAACAGTACCTGCAGTCTACAGTTCAGGTCAGTTTTTAGCCGGCACACTAACACGATCAGTGAACCTGACACGCTGTGTAGTACACGCTTTGCGGTTATTACCGTGCATTGCTGGTCCAATGCAAGATAAGCTGACCCTGGACCTCATTACCTCGGCAAGGCTTGTGACCGCAGACCGCAAAGGGGACCGACAACGTGTAGTGAACCACTGCACATACAGAGCCTTCGCTCCAGCTTCGTGTACAGTGTACACATACACGCACATGTACAGTACATGTACACTGTATGGCATGCAGTGCACTGAATAAAAGAAATCACGTACATGTGCATACATGTACATGTAGTGCCTGGCTGGCAAGATGACCGTCTTGAAGCATGCTTGAAGTATCGAAATATGTATCACTGTCACAGCCGTTTTCTTTTGTTTTGGATCGCCAAAGTTGTTCAGTCGGATTACATCTGGAAAATGTCAAATTTCAGTGAAACTAGCCAGTAGTCCACCACGTGTGTTTAGCTACTACAAAA